AGGTCCTCAAAGGGGCCCATTCCACCTACCTGGAGAGACCTTTTTCACCCTAATCAGCTGGTTTTCAACAGACATGGAGGATTTTATCAGCCAGACTCCTGCCTGCCATCCTCCAGCTCCACCATGAGCACCTCAAACACCCAAACCCACCATGGAGCCCCAGTACTTCCCACCAGGCTGGGATGCTGGACCCCAGCACCAGGAGAAGTCCTCTCTTTCCGGTGGCAGCAGTAAGAAAATGGCCTCATTTCCACCAAGAATTATGCAAAGCCTTGGAATATAGGACTCTCCGCGCTCCCGGTGGCGCGCGGCCCCCGACAGCCCCGATTTGGGGAGGCTGGCGGGCGCAGTGCGCTTGTTTGCCACCCTGATTAGTCAGCACTGCTAATTATAGCTCTGCTTTTCCTTCTTAGAGCTCTTCAAGCACCGTTGGAGTAACAGGGAACAACAGAGGCGCTGGAATAAGGCTGGATCCGCTCGCTGCGGAAATGGTGCCGGGATAAATATGGGGGTGAACATTCCAACAGAGAGACTTTAAGCCCCTCCTGGGGGTCTCAAGGCAACAAGCTCATAGGTCTGTCACATAGGAGTGGGAGCTTGGGTGGGAAAAGCTCTTGTGATGCTGGAATGTGACAACATTTCCCCAAGGAAAAGATTTAAAGCCAATTTTAGTACTTTTAGAGGTAAAAATGATGGAGAATTGGTGAGCTCTGCACCACCCATTGAACAGCAGCCCTTGTGCAAGCTTTGGTTCCCAGCGGGAACCAAATGCCTGGGAAATTACTGATTGCCACCCTGTTTTTAACTTGCCACCCCCTTGTTTTAACCAAAAAAGCACAATTCCTAAGGCAGGAGGAGAGCCAGGTCAAGCCCTGCCGTGGGCTGGCAGCACCCACATCCCTGCGGGGCAGTGCCAAAGGAAGATCCTGTGTCTTGTTCATCACTGAGCTTTACCCAGGGGCCGAAAGCCAAGGAGGGAGATGAGGAATGAAGATGGAACATAACAAGGGAAAACCTTCTCTGTGCTGCATGGCCTTCCCAATTGCTCTGTAATTATGGTGTCAGGCCTAGGCTGATGTCTTTGATTAGCTTTGACTTTTGCTCCTTGCTATTGAATATAGAAAAAGCACATTTAACATATAGTCAGAATGGTGTTGCAGGTACCCAGGGAGCTCAGAACCTTAAAAAGTAGAGTCTCAAACATTGAAAATACTGTATACAGTGGCTCATTCTCACAGACACAATGGGGCAGCTCTGGGGGCAGTGTGCCTTGGTTTAAAAGGGGCCTGATAATGTCATTTTTGTCACTTGTAAACCTCAACCCTCTTGGGGTACCCCAGTGGCACAATTTCCCCTTTCAGACAGATGGACAGATGTGCCAGCCCCGTGCAGCGGCCATGTCCTGGCAGCCCCTTTGCTGTCTGTGTCCAGCACAGGCACCAGCACTGCTGGGAGGGTCTAACGACATCCTAAAACAACTCTCAGCTCATGGGGCAATACTCTGGAACACAGCTGGGTAGGCAGCACTTGGGATGGTGTGTGCCCCCCTCACTCTGGGGCCAAAGGCGGAGGAGGATGGGGATGTGTTGGCACAGCCCTGAGACCTCTTTCAGCCCGTTTTGCCACCCAGGTCCTTCCTGGGGATGCAGAGTTCACAGACCAGCCCTGGGCTGGAAGGCCCAGGAGCCTCAGGGCCACGATGCCCGGGTGTGGGGCTGCCTGGGGCACTGGGGCACCAGCAGCACTTCACCTGCTGGGGTCAGCTCCCTCCAGGACCCAGGCAGAGCCTGGGCTGCAGCACGGGAGGAGGAAAAGCTTCTGCCAGTGCTTCCTATGTGCTCCCTTGCACCTGGGGGAGCACAGCCAAGTGGGGAAACCCCCCAAACCCTCCTCAGAGACATGGAGCTGCTCTCCCTGGAGGACAAGCAGCCCCACCACTGGGATGAGTGCATGGAAAGGGGGCACTTCTGGAGTACAGCGGGAAAATATCTGCTGGGGACGCAGGAAAAATATCCTGGGATTGTGCCAAACTTGTGGTGGGGTGTCAGGGGGAACAACTGAAGGTGGAGAAGGGATGTGTGGGGTCACCAGGGCCACTATGGAAGAGGTGGGTGTTTGAGAGCATTTCTGCAAGAGAGGCTGGAAAGGGGTGGGATGCTGGAGGGAGCAGGAGCTCCAAGGCAATTCCAGTGAGCCCGTGGGATTTGGGGTCAGCTGAGACCCCCGGGGGGTGTGTCTGTGCAAGAGGCACAGACAGATGAGAGGATCCAAGGGGCGGACTGGGGCAACTGGGCGTCCGAGGGCACGCCCCGCTCAGCCTCGGTGCCGGCGGGGCCTGGGGCTGCTGCAGCCTCCCCTCGGTCAGGTAGGGCACGTGGCAGCCACTGGCTGGGGCAGCGGGGACATCCCTGCTCAGCCCGGCGGCTGCTCGTGGCCCATCAGCTGAGACCACCCGCACTCATCTCAGCCTGAGGCCCCCGGAGGGGCTCGGACCCCACGGGCGGCACATCCCCTCTGCCGCAGCGGCTCCATCCAGCCCGGCTCCTGCACCCACCTCCTGGCAGATGCCTCTGCCGATGGGAGTCAGGCAGAACTCCTCACCCGCCTCCCCTTTCACGGGCCGTGCGTAATTACCGGGAGCGGGAGCGAATTCATTCAGCTCCTCGCTCGGTTCCCTCCGCCCCTTCTGGTGCCGCTCCTGTCACTCGCACGCACCGCTCGGTCACGCGCGGCAGCCCCAGGTAGATGACGATTCAAGTCCCCTGGGATGGGGCTTGGCCTAATTAAGAACCCAGATGCTCCAGATTGGGGCGGTTGGGTTCAGCCAAAATCACTGATATTCACCTAAATATCTTTAAACATCGGGAGCTGGAAATCCTTCCCAGCACTGAGCTCGCTGCACTGCACAGCTACAGCCTGAAACAGAGAGGGAGATGAAAGAGTGGAGCTGGAGTGTTATGAAACCAATAGAAAAGGAAGAAGGTGTAGCTGAAATCCCGTGGATCCAGGAGCTGAGCATTCCTGCTTTGATGATTCTTCTCCCGACCTGAATCATGGAGCCATTTATGGCTGGAAAAAGAATAGTGCCTTTGGGATTTGTTCTCTTCCGGGCTAATCCTTTCCCAAATTCTCAGGAAGGAAGCTTTGGGAATGAATGAGTGGGTGGGTGCTGTAGTGAGGGACAGACCCCCAGCCCTTGGGCAGGTGTCCCCTCACAGGGAGGCAGGGGCAGGGCTGGGCAGCCCACAGGAAGCTCCTAGGTGTGGATCCTCCTCATCCCAGCTTTCCGCTGGCTGGAGGGAAACCTCTGTGGGGCGAAGGCTCTGGGGTGCGATGTCTCCCCAGAGGAGGGATGCAGCTGCCCAGCCTCGTTGCACATGACCCCCGAACCCCTCCAGCTGCCGTCTCCTGGGGGCACAGGAGGGCTGGCGGTGCCGTCCCTGGACATCGTCCTTGAAGATCGGGGCATCGGAGCCGCGCCACGCCGTGTCACCCCCTCCTTTCCATCCCCGCGTCCCTCGGCACAGGCGGTAAAAATAAACCCTGCGAGGCGCCGGGGCCTGGCTCCAGCCCAAAGCTGCATCCGCAGGACGCGGGTGCAGCGGGCCCCGACCTTGGGGAGGTGCGTCGGGGTGGCGGGAGGAGAGCTCATGAATGAACGATCGGCGGGGCGGGTGCGCGCACCCCCCTCGTGCCTGCGGGTGTGGATGTGGAGCAGGGAGCCAGCCTTGTTGTTATTCTGATCACAGCGGCTCTGATTCACAGACTTGGATCATGAATATAAGTGAAGACTTTGACGTCAGAGTTGAGATTTATCAGCAGATCCAATGGGGCAGGAATATTAAGTGCAAGTCGATGCCAGCTCTCTGCCAACGCTATTAGCGATGCTCACCGAGGAATGAGGCTTCGCACCAAGGGCTGGAAGGACTGGGAAGGAAAAAATAAAAACGTGGGGGGAACAAGCTGATCCTCGTGCATTGAAACCAGGTAAAACAACAAGCCCCGGCGTCGCGGCTGCATGCGGGATGGGGCGATGGTGGCGGCGGGGGACGGCAGCGGCTGGGGGCAGAGCCCCCCCGACCTTCACACCTTGGCTGCCCACCCTGGGAGGGAGGATTTGCTCTGCCGAGCAGGGCAAGATGTTGCAGCCGGCTGGGAGCATCTTGCACCAGCCTTTTCCAAAGCAGGGGAAGGGAGGGAGGAAGGAGAAAGTTAATCCAGGCTGTCCCTTGCCACTGCCTTCTCCTTCCATCGGCGGCTCCGCATACAGGCGCTGGCCTATTAATAGTGTTTATTTTTACTCACTGCACGCAAAAAAGAAAGGGCTGCGGGAGGGGCTGGGGGGGCTGCGCTATAAATAGGTAGCAAAGGTGGCCGTGCCCCTGGGAGGGGAGGAGGAGGAGGGGGCGGCCAGTTCTTCAGCGGGTGCGCAGCGGTTGCGGACCCTGCGTGGAGCCGAGCGCACGGAGGCGGGTGCGGGCAGCCGGGTGATGAGTTGTGCTCGGCCTCAGCCCGGCGGGAGGAGCGGGTGATAGCGAGAGAGAGCGGCCAGGGGTGCGTGTGGGGTGGGGGGGACGGCGAAGCCTGGGCCGGGGATGTTTGCGGGAGGTTGGATCCCAGGAAAGCTGCAGTGGGGCTGGGGGGAGGCGGGCGGGGATGCGGCGGGCGGGGGCGGCCGGTGCGGGACGCGGGGTGGGGTGTCCCTGGGCCGGGCTCTCCGGAGCCCGGTGTGGGGCTCGGGGGGGTGTCCCGGGGCTTGGTGCGGGGCACGGTGCGGGGGTCTCCGGGGCCCGGGGTGGGGTCGGTGAGGGGCTCCCCGGGCTCGGTGAGGGGCTCCCCGGGTTCGGTGTGGCTCTCAGCGCGGGGGTCGGCGGCTCTCCCCGGGCTCAGTGCGGGGCTCGCCGGGCTCGGTGCGGGGCTCGGGGCTCTCCCCGGTGCCGGTGCCTCCCCTGACCTCCCCTCTCGCTCTCTCCCCAGCGATGCTGCACGGCCCCGCCGCCATGGGGGAGCCGTGGCCGCCGCAGCCGCAGCAGCAGCGGCTCCCGGGCCCCGGGAACGCCTCGGAGCCCCCCGCCTGGCCCTCGGCGGCGGGCGGGCCGGGCACGGCGGCGCCGGGCGGCGGAGGGGCCGCGGGGACCGTGAGCCCCTGGGACATCGCGCTGTGCGCCACGGGCACGGCGGTGGCGGGCGAGAACGCGCTGGTGCTCGCCGTGCTGTTCTACACGCCGAGCCTGCGGGCGCCCATGTTTCTGCTGATCGGCAGCCTGGCGCTGGCCGACCTGCTGGCCGGGCTGGGGCTGGTGGCCAACTTCGCCGTGCGGTACCTGCTGCGGCCGCCCAGCGAGGCGGCGGAGCTGGCGGCCGCGGGGCTGCTGCTCGCCGCCTTCTCCGCCTCCGTCTGCAGCCTCCTGGCCATCACCGTGGACCGCTACCTGTCGCTGTACAACGCGCTCACCTACCACAGCGAGCGCACGCTGGGCTTCACCTGCGCCATGGTGCTGCTGATGTGGCTGCTGTGCCTGGGCGTGGGGCTGCTGCCCCTCCTGGGCTGGAACTGTCTGCGGGACCAGAGCGCCTGCAGCATCCTGCGGCCCGTCACCAAGGACAACGCGGCCGTGCTGGCCGTCACCTTCCTCCTCCTCTTCGCCCTCATGATGCAGCTCTACCTGCAGATCTGCAAGATCGCCTTCCGGCACGCCCAGCAGATCGCCGTGCAGCACCAGTTCATCGCCACGGCGCAGGCCACCTCCACCCGCAAAGGGCTCTCCACGCTCTCGCTCATCCTCGGCACCTTTGCCCTGTGCTGGATCCCCTTCGCCATCTACTCCCTGGTGGCCGATTCCAGTTACCCCGCGGTCTACACCTACTCCCTGGCGCTGCCCGCCACCTGCAACTCCCTCATCAACCCTATCATTTACGCCTTCAGAAACCCAGATATCCAGAAGTCCCTCTGGCTGGCCTGCTGCGGGTGCATCCCCTCCACGTTCTCCTCCAGACCAAGGACATCCAGCGATGTGTGAGGACTGAGCACGGAGCCAGAGGTGCTCCCTTGCTCTCCTCCTCCTTCTCTTTTTCCCCTCTGTCGTTATTGTTTCCTACCGGGAGGGACCCCCCCGGTCAGCACATCTCGTTCCATGGAAAGATGGTCAAAAAGAGAAAAAGGCAAAAAGAAGGGGGAAAGAAAGAGAGAGAGTAGAATGATAATGGTTTCCTTTAGAAATGTTATTTTCTTACGCATTTTATTTTTTATTTAAAAACACAAAACACCAAAAAAAAAAAAAAAAAAAGAAAACTGTAAAACTGTTTGTCCATTAACAGACCTGTTTTACCCCTAGAGGACTTTAAGAAATCCCATGAATACATCGAAAAGAGGTTTCAGTAAAAAATCAAACCCTGCATTTTAAAAACAAAAAAAAAANAAAAAAAAAAAAAAAAAAAGAAAGAAAGAATGAAAAGGAAAGAAAAAGGATCCTCGTACGATGGCGTTTATCTGCTCTCGGGGTAAGGAGCCAGGCAAGCAGCGGGCCCCGTCCGGGTGGTCCCACGCCTCGAGGCACATCCCGCGGGAAGGCCACAGGAGCGGGCGGGGGCAGGTGTCACGTACCCCCCGGCGGGGCTGGTCCCCACCCGTGGGGTTGTTACGCGGGGCGCCCACTCCCCTGAAATCAGGTCTTGCGATGCTATGCAATAACGGGGGGGGGCGTTCAGCACCGCGGAGGGGACAGCTCCGGCCGGGGGGCGGGCTGGGGGAACCCGCGGGGGGCACGGGGCCTCTCTGTGTCTGTGTCGCTTGTGAAGCACTGCGAGAACCTGAGGGGCAAAAGGCTCTTTAGGTTTGGGTTGTTTGGGCTGTCGCAGGGATGGAGGTACCCAGGGAATCCATTCCGTCCTTCCCCCCCCCAAAGGTGACTGGGGCAGGGGGAGGGCTGATGGTGTGTGGGTGGGGAGGGCGGTTGGGGTGCACCCCAAAGTCTGGGAGGCCAAGGAAGGGCTCTCCTGTCCGACTGGGGCTGTGGGGTGATGCTCTCCCCACTCTGCACTCCCTTCCACACCAGTCGTTTACATGGGGAGGGATTTTGATCCAAAGAGGGGTCCAGGCTTGCTGGGGTCCCCAAGAGGGAAGCCTTGTAATCACACACGTTATTCCTGATGCTGCCAATTTAACTCGCTTCATTAGAGAAGCAACGGGCCCCTCCCATTCCCCTACTGTCTGATGTGCTTTGTGGTGTTAGTGAGACAGATGAAGTGTCCTTTACCTTGTGCTTTCTTTTGGCCGGGCAGTGGAAGTGCATTCACTTACAGAGCAGGAAACAAAGCAACGCTCACGGGATGGCAGGGCCCGGGGTGGAGCAGCCAGGGCGGCTCAGGGCACAGGCAGGGGGTGCTGCTCCAGGGCCTGGTGTGGGAACAACTCTGGAGAACCCTCACCAGCTGAGCCTGGTATCCCAAACATTCTGCTTTCCTTTAGAGAAATTGCTATGGTGTTGGACAGGGACTTTGGACAAGGGCCTGGAGGGACAGGACACAGGGAATGGCTTCCCACTGCCAGAGGGCGGGGTTAGATGGGAGACTGGGGAGGAATTCCTCCCTCTGAGGGTGGGCAGGCCCTGGCACAGGTTGCCCAGAGAAACTGTGACTGCCCCATCCCTGGAAGTGTCCAAGGCCAGGTTGGACGGGGCTTGGAGCAACCTGGGCTAGTGGAAGAAATGTCCTTTCTTTGTGTGTCTGCAGTGGGTACAAAGGTACTTTATGGCTGGGTACAGACAGACCCAAGTGTATTTTCTCCCTGGATCTGTGTAATGACTCTCTTGCTCCTTGGAGCTTAGTGCACATGAGAAAGCTGTGAATCTCCAAAGTGTGCCTGGAGCTTGGACTTACTGTCTGCCTTTGAAAGGTGGCCATACTCTCAGTGTTTTGTTTTTGTGGTTTTGGTTTTTTTTCATTTCCTTTCTCTTTAAAATACCTTGGGCAAGGGGCAGTAGGCACAATATTGAATCAATGTAAGCTTTAAAGTAAATAGATTAATTTAACAAAGAGTAGTATTTATACAAACACTCTGCTAATTTTATTTCTTCTGGTTTCATAAGTGCAACCAGGTCCCTGCAGATCCTCAATGCGAAAAATTCAATAGCTTAAACCATTTTTGAAACATTGTGAACATTTTGAAATGATTTTATACAACCACCCTATCTAGGAGATGGGATTTGTTTCTCTGGGCAACTCATTTTGTGTCTCTGGGTGAAATGTAGTTTAACTAATCAGTTCTAGAGAAACTTTAGCATGAAAAACAGTTGCATTCTCTTGGCTTTCCGGTAATCCCCTTATTGCTGAAGAGCTTGATTTTAACAAACTTTTTTTCGTTGTATACTTGAAACTTGTCTCAGTTTGAGGGATCCATTGACAAACTTTGCCAAAGTCAAATAAGAATCAGTGGAAAATAATTCACACACACACACCCCCTCCATGTCTCTCCACAGCAATAGGTGAAGGATTTGGGAAGTGAGAGCTAAAGCTGAGCACACAGTTCCTGCCAGACAGCTGAGGTCGAGAGCAGGTGGGGATGTCTTCACTGAGACCCAGGGTACTCACCCAAACCCCTCTACAGCAACTTTGTCAAACTCTGCTGCCTGAATTCTGATCCTTGCATGAAGGAGACACTGATTCTGTTGCTCTGACCCAGCTCACAGCCAGTACCAAGACGTGGCACAAGTATATTCTCTGTGCTCAGAGTCGGTGTAAAATCACAACCTAATTCTTTCTCAAGTGATGGTTTAGTTTCTCTCTCTTTGAGATGTCCATGGAAGTTGTTAAAAACACTTGCTAGGTTTCAGGGAAAGTCTCAAGAATTCTCCTCTAAAAACTGTTTTGTTAAATTGGCATTTCTGCAGTCTTTCCCCTAAGTAAAAATAAATGTATTTTCTGGGTCTTTTATTTTCCTTTGCTGTTTTTTCTCTCCTTTCTTTTTAATCATGGAAAGGAGAGAAAACAAGGAGGAGTGAGGCAGAAGGTAAAGAAGTTTAGGTTCACCTGCCATGCAATGTGTTGTGGAAATCTCTGACCTTTTTACTGCATCTTTGCTTTGGCACTTTGTTTTTGGCTTGATTTTGTTCCATTTTTGTTTTTCATTAAGAAAATCTTCTACTGGAAAAGTTTCAAGTGACAATGTTGGACATCAGTGAGGATGCTGGATGTTGGATCCTCCTTATATTGAACATAAGGAGGCCTGACTTAAAACCTTAAAATCTTTAGGAAGTTAGTGGTGCTGTGAGCAGGGTGGAAATGCCCTGTGTTTGGGATGCTTCAGTGTTGGCTTTGGGACACGTTTAGGATGAAATAATGGGCCTGACTTTGGATGAGTTGCCATAAAAAAGGAGCAGCTCCCATGAATGCAATGGTATCACATGTGGATGAGGCAACAATGATAAGGAAGCACTGGAAAACAAAATGGGTTTTCCGGCTGGTTTTCAGTCCAGTGAATCATCTGTGGATTCCCTGTGGATCCAAAACATATTCCAATGTGGTGAAAAGAGCCAAGCAGCCCCTATCTACCTGCTGGGTTCCATGAGATCACAGAGCAACTGGAGTGTCCCATTGCTCTCCACTTCCTGGTATCAGATGTGTTGGCAGGGTTAGGCTGGATTCCCTTGTCACTAGGAAAGCTGAGATCTATAAAAGCCATTGTGCCATTCAGATGATCCAGGGGGACAATGGTAGTTCTGCAAAGCACAAGGTCTTTGCTGGTTGGAAATTTGCAGATGCCCTTTGATTTTCACAGAGCCTCCATGGCCACTCTGGGTGGGAACTGGACCTGCCTGGAGAGGGCTGCTTGGTGTTTAACTGGGGAGACCTCTGTGTCCTCACCCTGGCACAGACCTTGCCATTGTACCCTTAAATATTGACTTTTGCAAATTGCATTTGATAAAAGATGAAGGATCAGATTAGATTCATGCTAAGATTCAAGGCCCTGCTTAGATTCATGTCACTGCTGGACTCTACAGGAGCTGGTGTAGATCCACAGCAGCAGAAACATGCAGAAAACTGGTCCTGAGGTGTGAGGAAAATTGACACCTTAGGTATCCAACCAGCCCCAAGCCTATGGCAGAGATCAATGTAGCCAGGAAATGAATCTACTGCTTATTTGGGTGATTTATTTACAGGTTTCTGTGTGCCTTTGGCTTTTCCACCATGACTTGGTGGCCAGCAGAATGCAGGTGTGAAGTGCTTTTGTCATTGGTGGTTGGCTGTTGAGGGGATGAAGAAAGAGTGAAGAGGAGAAAGAAAGAGAAAACATTCCTGGAATACACTGTGACAAGGGCAGGGCCACCCTTGGGTGGGACAAAACCACAGCTCCATGAGCACCCTGAGGTTTGTGGAGATGTGCCAAGGGTGGGTGTGAGCTTGTGCATTTACAACAAGCCCTTGTTGTCACAGCATGTTTTGACCGAGAAATAAAAACAAAACAAAACAAAACTAAACACCCCCCCCCCCACCTCCCCCACCTCCCCCGGTAGAATGTACAGGCTCTACCAACAAAGCTGTATAGTTTTATTTGGGTTTTGTTTTCCATTTTGGTCAGTTTGGGACTCTGAGCAGTGAAAACCTCTCTTTAGCCAACTTCGTATCAGCACCAGCAGGAAATATCTCAAGGGTCTCACTCCTGATGTGGCAGCCCCAGCTGGTTCATGTCAAAGAGTTTGAATTGAACTTTGAATGAAACTCCAAGAAACCATTACTGTTCTCAGTAGGTGATGAAGTACCTCTTTCTTGTAGAAGCATCAAATTTGGGGTGGGGAGGTCTTTAAAAAACCATTGATCCTGGTAATCACTTGTGTTGGTGTGTTCTGACCAGCATCGAGGACTCACGTTATTGTTACTGGTGAATTAGAGTTCACTTTAATTGTCAGGAATAATTGTTGAATGCACATGGTATTTCCTTGTAACTCCTCTTGTTCATGCACAACCTTTCCTCTTGTTGAGGTGAGACAGCTTCACCTGAACCATTTGTACCTCTCCTGTTCCCAATGCAGTTCCTACTGCAAGCTCCCCTGAAAGCTGCCCTTCCTGCTGTCCTGCAACCCCGGGAATGGAGCTTTCCCATTCCCACTGGAAATCTCTGCAATACAGAGCATTATAGAGATAAAATGGGGTTTTCAGTAGAGAAGACCCAAATCAGAAGAGGTGGGCCAAAGCTCTTCTGTCCCTGACTTTGGGGGATGTGATTAAATTGTCTCCAAGTCAAAGGGTAATAGTTGCCTTCACAAATTCTGCTCGATGCCAACTCCCCCCCCCAGTTATCCCCTCCCGGCTGGAGGATGCTGCCATGGGCAGGATGCTGGATGTCTGACAGCATGTTGTGTCACTGGGCACTGAAACCACAAGCACAGGTTTATGGCCTTATTGCAGGATCTGGGAACTGGAAAACAGCAGGCTGGTCCCAGGGAAAGCTCTTCTCCAGCTGGGCAGTACCTGGCTGAGGATGAGGCAGTGCTGGCTGCTTGTCCTTCTAGCCAGGCCTCTAGGCTCTGCCTGGCCTTTCTACATCACACACAGAGGACTGGGCTTGTTCCTGATGTCCCGTGTGAGCAGGACAAAATACATCAGCCCCCAGCACACAGAGCTTCCTCCCTGCAAAGTGAATCCTCCAGCTTGGAGGGAGGGATGAGTTTCTGGTGGCAAAGCCCAGCTGGAGACTCACCTGGAGCCCAGTCCTGCTCTCCAGTCACCCCCCGGGGCTCTGAGCCCCAGGTCAGGCTGGCCAGGCTTCCGTGTCCGTCAGAGCCACTGTCACAGCACAGACGGACAGACTGGGAACCCATCACCCTGTCCCCTGCCTCCCGTCCCAGCTGATTCCCCAGGAACCAGGTCATTCCTCAGCAATCAGGGCAGCAACTTGTCTTGCTGTCAGTGTTTTCATGAGCCTTTTAACTTGACTGGGAAAGTTGATCTCAAAGAAAAATGTACAGTTGTCATTCACCTATGATTAAATCAAGCCCCGTTGATGCACTTTATGAACGAGTGAAAACAAATCAATGCTGTTATTGCACTGTATCTCTATTGTGTATAATATTATACATTCATCTGTAAGAGTAATTTATTTTTATTACTGTAAATAAAACTGTTAAAGTGATTTGTCAAGAGGATATCCAAAAATAGGGGGAAGGGGGTTAAAATTAAAACATTTGAAGATCTGGGCTCCTGTCCCAGGTATGTGCCATACTGTGTGTGTGCCAGTGTTTTTATTTCAGCCCAGGCAAGTCTAGAACAGGGCTCTGCTTTCCCTCACCTGGGACTTGGATCAGGATGAGCTGGATGAGAAAAGGAACCACTCGAGACATTGAGGGATTGGGAAGGAGCAGCTCCTGCTGCTCAGAGCCTCCAAGCATGAGGATGGACGTTTTTCCATCAGCAAGCCATTCTCTGCCCTCTGATTAGGGAGCTGGGGAATTAAACATCCATGGGAATTAGTTGATCTTTGAGGGCTTGATTCTCCAAATGAAGGGTTATAAAGAGATCACAGCTTTCTGCTGCTTCTTCTGTGTCCCAGACTCTGAAAGAGGAGGGAATATCACAGGGCTGATAACTCACAGCCATAGGACCCAACGAGGGCAAGATGACAAAAAGCCAAACCCAAATCTACTGTAACCTCTTAAAATCTTTATTAATTCTTTCTTTTTTCTTTTTAAATTTCATTAGCACATGCATAAAGTGTCAACAGTGTGGGATTAAGATGACATTTCTTGAATAAATGTAGTTACAAGCGGTGCCTGGGGTTGTTCCAGGTTTCCTCTCTACACTGTACAGAAGGAAGCTGCAGGAGTCCCCACCTTCCCTCATCGTGTCACCACAGGCAGAACCCACAACACTGGGGAGATATACACTTGTTCACACGTAGCAACTGGGTAGGGTAGATAGATACAGGCAGCAACATCTACTCACCTATTGACTAAGTGCACATGGTTAAAGACCCCAACAGACAGTGAACATCTCCTTCTTTAATCTCAGCTATGGAATTAAGGAAATCAATTATGGCCTGGAACAGGTGACCCTCCCTTGGGAGAGATGCCTGTCTCCCATCTGCTCCTTCTATCCAATGGCAAATCACAGGAGATACGGGCAATACTTCTGCTGTTATAAAAAAATGGGCCTTTTGCAGGAGGATCGGGGCAGCCCCACGGATGCTGAGGATGCACCTGGGAAGCCAATGCAGGCTGGCACCTCCCTGACCCCACTGTGCCACCCCTGCAGAGCTGGAGCCAACCTCCACAAAGACTGGCCTGAGCTCTGATTCCAGGCTGTTTGTATGATCAGTCAGTACCAAAAGGGGAGAAAACTGCTTTTAACATGTCCAGCTTGAGGTGGATGCTCTATTTCAGCAGGATCGGGAGCTCCAGGAGGTCTCCCTGGCTCAGAGCTGCTGAGTTTGGGTAGTGCTGAGGAGGTTTGGGGCACCTGAGGTGTCTTGCTCCCCAGCCTGCTGGGTGCAGGGCACAGGAAATGATCCTCACCTGTCTTCAGTGTCCCCCAAAATGACTCTCCTACAGCACCTGGCCTCACTACAAAGGGGATGGAAACCTGGCAGCGAGATGGTTCCTGTCCTGCTGCAGCAGCTGGCTCTGGCCCACAGCCCTGGGAGGGACAGGAGGAGGAGCAGGAGGAGGAGGAAGGCTCTCCAGCCTGAAGCCTTGTCCATGGCAGCAGCAATGCATCTACCCTGGAGCAAACCCACCAACAGGGGCACATCCCACAACAAAGTGGGGACAGGGTTTGTCCCCTCCCTGCGCTCCTCACGTGTTCTCTCGGGGACTGTCCCTGTCCCTGGCATGTGCACCCAGATGTGCGTTTGCCAGAGTAGGTTTCTTGGGTTGGCCAAAACCAGCTCCCCAAACTACCCCCTGTGCAGGAAGGAGGACTCCCAGACCTTGGAGTCTGGGCAGGTCCAGGTTTCCACCCCAGGTGAGCGCTGCCCTTTCCCAGCACAGTGAGACCACTCACCCCAGGAAGCCTGTGGGGACCTCCAGGAAAGGCACTTGTGTCAGTAAGGAGCTGCCACACCACTGTGACCCCATTGCATTCCCAGTGGGAATGAGCCCTGGTGTGACAGGGCACATCCCACAGCAAGGGGAGGGAAGTGCCAGCACGGCTCAGCATCAACCCAAACTCGTGCTGGGGACACCCTGCTTCAGATCCCTCCCAGGTCAAGCAGCCCCACAATTAAGGAAGTCTATTCAGGTAAGGAGCCATCACCCAAAAATCTCCTAAAAATGCATTTCAAGGAAAAGGGGTTTGTTTGAGGATTTTTTTGGGTGGGGACTTAAGTGGCTTGGACAGGGCTTGGAGCAACCTGGTCTAGTGGTAGGTGCCCCTACCCATGGCAGGGGTAGGATTGGATGGGCTTTAAGGTCTCTTCCAAAGCAAACCCTTCTGAGATTCTGTGATTTTCTTTCTTTTTCTGGTCTGCTCTGATCTGAGATGAAAAGCACCACCAAGAATGGTCCCGTTTGATAAAAACTGGACAGAACTAAAGGTAGACCTGAAACATCTCAGTATAAAATTAAATTGGGGGGGGAGGGGCAGTGAGGGGGTGTTGAGGCTCATAACAGTTTGATTTTTGAAGACCTGGCAGGACTGTGTCAAAGCTGTTCCTGCTGCCATCAGGAAATCACCCTCTCCTCCATGGGTGTCACAGGAACATCACCAGGCTCAAAGACAAGACTTTTATGGTTACCTTTTCCATGGTAAGAAATGACTTGCTATGGTGTAAGTGTTCCCAGCTGAGGTGTCAGGCATGGACCAGCACTGGTGAGAGGTGAAAATCAACAGGACTTCAAACACTTGGGCTGGGGAAGGGCCTTCACTGTCAAAAGCACCTCCTGGGGTGATAAGAGACCCCTCTCCTTGCTGCACTGTGATGAGGTTCTTACTGCTTTTTCTTAAATACTGTTTTCTCAGGATGTGATTTTTTTGGAAGTGGTGAGACCTGCTTCATTTTGTTGGTGATAGCTGGGAAGTGTTGCTGGGTTTGACCTTCCCTCGAGGTCCAGGGGAAGGGAACAGAACAAATTGTCCTTCTGGAAATCACATGTAAGTTGTTTGTTTGCTTTTTAGTTTTGTGGGGGAGGGGTTTGTGTTTTATTTTTGTATTTCTCATCTGAGCTAGCCCAAATCAAAGGGTAACTTTTAAAATCTCCACCTTAATTTACCAGCATGGTTTACCCACTGCAGCTGCAGGCGAAGAAGGGTCCTGAGGAGCAAGTTGCTGGAGCTGCTGCCTTCTGACTAGGGAAATACAGCAGTAACATCTGCATGCCCTGGTTTTCTACTCAGTTCACATCCTTCCCTCTCAGGTGTTTTATCTTTATTGCATTTAAGGGTCAACACCAAAACCAAGAGAGAGCTCCAGCAGCTGCCCTGGCTGGTGGGAGATGCTTTGGGGTTGGGACACCCAAAGGAGGGGATGAGGCAGAACTACAAACACATTTTGAAGAGATGCCCTGTGGGCACCTCCACCACTCCCTGGCCCACAACAAGGTCATGGGCAGTGCTCCTTTCTGGCATTTGCCCACCTGCTTCTCAAAGCCCTCCTAAGGCAGAACCTTTGTGGCCTGCTTCAGTTTCTCCATCCCTTACCATGGCAAAGCCTTCCCCAAGATCTGACTCAGCTCCCTTCTGCCACAACTCACTCCTCCAGTGCCGTGCACTTGAGTCCCTCACTGACATGGAGAACAGAGTTATTTTTTCCATGCCCTTTGTGGCTTTTCAGGGGGTTTTACCCATCTGAGGTTTTCCCTGTACAGAGCAGTGGGAGAAAAACCAACCTAAAATGCTGGATTATTTTATTTCTGTCTTTTTCCTCCTCTTTGCACTCTTAATACTTTATGCAGAACTAAGTGCTGGAGCTGCCATTGGGCTGAAAGTCCCCCAGGGCCAGCCCAGGGCCTTGGCATTGCCACCACGGGAAAGGTGTGCAGGGGAAGGCTCACTTCCCACACACTTGGGCTCACAACACCGGCAGGTCATTGTTTAACAGGTTTGAACCTGTTCCTGAGAGGAACAAGAGACTACAAAGGCACCTCTGGAAAGATCCCTATTAGGAGATGCCCATTAGGGTGCCCATCCCTGCTCTGCTATCACGCAGCACTGTGGAGGAGCCCACGGCCTCAGGGTCCTGCCAGTCTGTAATCCAGACATTAATATGGATAAAGTCACATCAGCACTGCCTTTGGGGACTCTGTGGCCAAGCATGTTCCATCCAGATCTTGCCTGGGGATTTCCCTCACCGAGAGCCCATCCCTTGCTGCAGGCTCTGCCTCAGCCGTGACAGCACCAGGGTGGTGTCCTGCCCCCACCCTGCCTGTGGGCACGTTCTGAAGGCTTTGGGGCAAACCTCACTCAAGTTCCTGACTGGGAGTTTTGTTTGGGTTTTTTTCGTTCCTTTCCCCAGCAAAATCCAGGCTCAATTTTTACTGTGAGAAAGCAGAGCTTGAGACAACAATCCTAGAAAACCTGGAGTTTGTTCAAGGAAGACCAGATTCACAACCCCCCCGCATCCTTTGACTCTCAAACAGATCAAAATACGTCAAAGTCTAGGTTTGGCTTCTAAGTGTCTGAAGGAGGACATTTTGCATGAGCTCAGAGGCTACCATGTGAATTGATGGGCAGCTCTAAGTCTTGGCAGGCAGTGGTGCATCCAGGCATGTTTCCCATCACATCCATGGCCATCCCAGAGAGCAGAGCTGTGTGGGGACTGGGAAAGGCCCACCCTGAGGGCACAGGGACAAACCCAGCATGGCTTGGCACTCCTGGACTTTGCTCAGGCACTTTTGCAGGGCAGTAGTGGAGGGGCAGGAGAGCCCCACTGTGACATCAGCGGGGGGATGTGGTCATGGGGCTGCTCGTGGGGTCACCCAAGGAAGGGACAACAGTCCTTGAGGTGCTGCTACCCAGTGGAGAGTAAATTCATGGGTGAGTGAGCATTTGAGGCTCCTAAAGTGCAGTGCAGGTTATATGGTCTTTGCTGTAGACTGTAAACTCCTCCGGACAGACTCCTTGCCCTTATTGTTTTGGGTTTTTAATCTGTAAAGTAACATTCCAGCTGAGAAAACCTTATCCCTAAATAACTACTACTACAGGAAAACAGGAATCTTGGTGAAAGGAACTGCCTGTGCTCCCCTTGCCAGCATCCCATGATGGGGAGTGCTTCCCATGGCCAAACATGGTCCATCCACGAGGAAATGGCACTGTGTTCCTGCCAGCCATGGACCTCTGGAATGCACCCTCCAAAACACCACCTCCGGTGCTACAACCTGCCTCCCTCCAAGCAAAACTTCCATTTATCATTAAAGCTGAGGTGTAAATTCAGGCTCTGTCCCCAAGGGAGTCTGCAAAGCTTCTGTTCAGGCTGTTGGGTGTCTTGAAAGGGAAACAGAGATGAAAAAGTTGCTGGGAGGAAATTTGAGGGAGTTCTCTGGAGAAGCCAAGTTCAGCCTCATGTTTGCACCAAGAGCAAGACCTTCCCCAGAAAAAACATCAGCAGAAGTAGGAGCTGTCATGGGATGTGATGCTTGCTCCTCTCTAGGTTTCTTCCCAGGGTGCAAAGTTAGAAACTACCCAATCCATTCCTCCTTCAGGACACCTCTAACCAGCATCCAGAGCCAGCTCCAATGGTCCCTCTAACCCAAGGAGACGCTGAGTGCAAGGGCAGGCATGAACACTGCTAGACTTCCACCAGCCTTCAGAAACTTGAGCAAGACTAGACTTCACACTTGGTGTAGGTTCACAGATGTGCCATGGACATGCTGGTCCCTACAGTGTCCGTTTTTAGATGAACCAGAGATGTCCAAGAGGCTCCTGATGGAGCTCAAGGACCACAGCCTTCCATTAATATCTCCAAGCAGAACAAAACTGGCTTATTTACTGTTCCACTGACTCCAGCCCAATCCATCTGTATGCACTCAGGGTGTTCTTCCCCCCGCTGGCAGTCATATTTATTATTTTTAATCTATGCCCATAAATTGGCAAGTAGGGGAAAGCAGATAAAATGGAAAGAGGAGCTCTCAGGAGATCAGTTGGGCTCATTAAATGTTTGGCACTCCGTGATTATCCACTGGCAAAGAAATGCCACTGCTATATTTTAACATGGAACATGATACCTTAATATACAGGAGAATCTCCTCAACCCAATTCTGGCACTCTTGAGAGAGGAGAAATTCAATCATCTGTGACCTGGATTGTATTTTTTAATGTCTGCCAAGCTAGATAAAATATTTAAATATTCACTTTTATATCAGCCCACATGAGGATTTGAGCATTTCAGGTTGTGTAACACAGCATGGCCTACTTTGGGAAGAATATCCGGGAATAGGCACATATGTACAAAATATGGAGTGTGCAGCATGTGGGTCAGACAGACAGTGTTAACGAGTGGGGCACAACCAACTCCAGCAGTGCCAGCCCAGGAACTGGTGTTGCTTCTGTTGGATTTCATAGGTCACCTGGGCAAAAAGCAGATGAATGTGCCTAAAACAAAGCTGGTCACGCTCCAGCGTGGCTGAACTGTCGGGTGAAGATTCTGAGGATGCAGTGGCTGTGTCATGAGATCGGGGCTCTCAGTGCCACCATGTGGTATTAATGGTCTGATTTGATGATCTTAGAGGTCTTTTCCAACCTCAGCAATTCCGGGTGCTTGCCTGCCTTGTGGTGCTGTTGGGAGAGTTGGGAAGAGCATCACTGTGACCAGACCAGAAATGGGTTCTACAGCCCACCCTGACTACACAGGTCACCTCTCCACCAGCTACAGCAGAAAGCTGAGCAACGAGCTCTGCTGCAGATCTCGCTGGGATGAGGATGGGGCGGGGGATCAGCCCCATCCCTGCTATCAGGACAGCTTAAGGGCTGCCATGGCAATTCAGATCCCTGGAAGAGGAGGATCATGATGTTTTCAAGCAATGGGCAATGCTGGGAGGTTATGGTCCTGCTGACTTGCTTTGGACTTGAGCACATGAAACGTGTTTGTGTTATCAAGGGCTGGAGATTGTAAGCAGAATATGAATGGTGAGGATGTGCTGGGATGTCCAAAGGGGAGAGGATGGTGTAAGGAGTGAGGAAGAGTGGGCAGGGGAGCATTGCTACCTGCCCTCCCGAGGCTCCCAGCTGTACACCCACTCTGCAGATGTGGCCTGTGCACAGGGCAGGCAAGGATTGAGGGAACTAGATGACCTTCAAGGTCCCTTCCAACCCAAGCCATTCTGACTGTCAAGGGTTTTGCCATGGAACAGCATCAACCCTGACACTGGCATGGGTTGACTGACAGCTGCCAATCCCAAGTGCAGCACAGCTGTGGGGAGGTGACAGGGCAGTGAGAGGCTACAGGGACAGTCCTGACCTGCCACACACCAGAGTCCTGCCAGAATGACCACAGTTCCAATGTGACACACACAAAGCAACTGGTGCACGAAAAGAAGGGGCTTGATCTTCCAGGGGCACTCGACCACTCTCCAGTTCTCACCAGGACTGGCTCGGCTTTGCAGAATTGGGCCAGTCAGAGATCCAAGGGACAAGCCAGTTCCATGTGTCCCTGAGCCCCTACTTGGTTCCCCCCAATGTCTCTGCAGCCCTTCGACCCCTATAACAGGTAAGAGCAGCTCCCCCAGCCCCTGCTATTCTCTCTCCTCATAAAATTTATTACTTTTTCTAAATTATCCAAATAAATCCACTTTCTCTTCACACACAAACAGGATTACGATTGTGTCTACGTTAATAACGCTCCACAATAAATACCACCAGGAATCTGCTGAAATGTTGCTCTGAATTTTTACAACACTTCCTTCTGAACATGTTCCAGGTCAAATCCCAGCTGCTTTCCCAAGGAAGGCCCATCACAGGGGCTCTCTGTCTTGGCCAGGCTTTGGCCAAAAGCTTTTGCAGCCAGTTCCCTGTGTTTCAGAGGGTCTACATCAGAAACGAGAGCTCTTGGCGAGCACCAAGCATCAGGAATTTCCTGACCTCCTGGTGCACTGTGTCTCCCTGCCTCCTTTGGTCAGCCCTGCTTCCTTGGGTTTTGTAGATGAGCTATTCCATGCATCCTATTGCACTTCTGCTTCTTGCCTTGCCCTCTCCCACATCCATGCTGCCCCTCTGCTCAAGCCCACTCGGCACCACAGCTCACAGTCCAGGAGTGGAGATGTGGGAGGTGTCACTCCCAAGGGACAAGAGACCATTTTGTGGCAGCCAAGAGAAAGGAGAGCTCCTGGGGGCATTTCTCAGCAGCTGGGCAGAGGATTCACCACATCTGGCCATGAAAAGTTTCTCACTGGGGAGAAATGAGCAGATGTTTGGGGTGTTGTTCAACACCAGCACTTCTCAGGGTGAGGAACCAGCAACCCGGTCTAGAGGAAAGTGTCCCTGCCCATGGCATGGGACTGGAATGAGATGAGATGTAAGGTCCCTTCCAACCCAAAGCACTCTAGGATTCTATGAATTTAAGGATGAGCCTTTGGGTCCCAGCCGTACCCTCCCACCTCCTTTACTGGCCTGTTTGCTTCTGGAGAGTCAAAATCCTACTGTTGTAGCCATCACCTACATGGCTACTGGGAGAGGCAGAGAGGCAGGCACAGAGCCCAGGCTTTCCCCAGAAGAGCTGCAACATGGGGCCTCAGTTTTCCCCCATTCAGAGCCTTGTGGTATAAGGGAACACAAGAGAGGGCCTGGGGACACCACTCTGGCAAGTCCATGGCTGGTCCTGGCCCATTTTCCACTCGTGGGGAATGTCTCTCAGCTCTCTGCAGGTTTTTGCACCTGACTGTGATATTTTCAGTATTCCCTACCCCTTCTCTCTGCCTTCCTGTGCCTCCTCCCTCCGTGAAGGGAGGAGAAAAGTCTTGGGTGAATCACTCTATTTTGATGTGAGCACAGGTATTTTCAGTGCTGTGGCAGGGGCCTGGCTCTCCAGCTCCCCCATTAGCACCCTCCTGTGGGATAGGGAATGGGGCAGGATCAGGGCGGGGGAACCAGTGCCTGGCTCTGAGTTGGTCTCAGTTGTACAGGCACAGTATGTGGGGCTGCAAAGGGCAAGTTGAGAGTTTACCTAAAAGCAGCAGATTGTCTAATTAACTTCTTTTTCTTTTTCAAATAACACTGAAATGGTGTCACATTAAGACCAAGGAGAGCTGGGTCTGGGGAAGCTCCCTGGACACCTTAATCCTTCACTGGCAAAGACAAGGCTGCGTGCCCCTGTCAGCCACACAAGCCTTGCCTTCACCCTTTTCTCCCAGAAAACCAGTTCTAAGGACAGAAACGGGCTCAGGTCACCAACACCTTGGTCTTCTCATGCAGCCTGGTCTAGTGGAAGGGGTCCCAGTTCATTGCAAGGGATTGGACTCAACAGGCTTTAAAGGTCTCTTCCAATCCCAACCATTCTGTGATTCTCCAGGGAGTGATAGTACGATGGGAACCATCCCTACGGAGCTGCTGCTAAACATGGTGCATCACGCCCAGGGGAAGGAGGCTCCTGCTCATGGGCAGCCTTTGGAGCTGCCTGACCCCAAAAACTCTGACAGCAGAGGGTCCCCAGGCCCATGCAGGGCCATCCCCGAGCTCCCATGGTGGCACCAGCCGTGCAAACAGGCTTCTTCTCCAGGAGCTTCTCGTTACCACAGTTACCGTCCAGCTGGAAAAGCACTGCTGCCCCTGGGGCTCCCTCCTCGCGCAAAGCACACTCAGGGCCAGCCTCTGCTCCTGCTCCAGGTGTAAACCCAGAGCAATCCTATTAACCTGCCTTCAGAGAATTCTGGAAGTCATTAAACATGAAGGTGCTGCTAATGTCTGGTCTCACTGCCTCTGAGGTGTATCCTACCAGTGCTGCTGCTGCCCGCAGGGTTTTGGACAAAGTGTAAAAGCAAAGCTCCTGGATGAGTGGGGCCGCCCGCACAGCAATGGTGGGGGAGGCGCCTGTACACACCCGGGGCAGAGCTGGGGGCTCCTCCAGCCCAGCCCAGCCCAGCCCAGCCCGGGGCCCCTCAGTCTGACCACTCATTCTCGTCCAGCTCGGAGTCGTCGTCGGACTCGCTGTACTCCACCGCGATCCGCCGCGACAGGATCGTCGCCACGTCATTGCCCACAGGCTCTTTCTTGGCCTCTTGTTCCCACTGCTCCTGGACTTTCCGGAGTTGGATCCCTGCGGTAGGAAAAGGGGGAGGGCTTTAGGAGCAGTGTAGCCTATGTGCAGCACCCTCCCATTACATAGTATTGGCTGAAACGAGATGGCTGCAGCCCTGGGCGGGAGGATGTAGGTCATTACAAAGCTATATGAGATCATAGGATTGGTAGGACAAGGGGGAATGGCTTTAAACTGAAGGAGAGTAGGCTTAGATGGGATATTGGGAAGGAATTCCTCCCTGTGAGGTTGGGAGGCCCTGGTACAGGTTGCCAAGAGAAGCTGTGTCTGCCCCATCCCCGGAAGTGTCCAAGGCCAGGTTGGATGGGGCTTGGAGCAACCTGGGATAGCAAAAGGTGCCCCTGCCCACGGCAGGAATGACATGGTCTTTAAGGTCCCTTCCAGTCAAAACCATTCTGTGATTCTATGAATAATGCAATGTGTGTGATTATAAAGCTCTATCACAGAATAAAACTCCTTCTCTGCTTCCATTCACCTGAAGATGTTGAACCTTCTGGAAGGTTAAATTTACTACTCGACCTCAAGATTTGCAGGAAGGGGAAGTGGGAGAGACCTTGGAGCACATCATCCTCTACAGCCTGAAAGGAATCCAGTGATCTGTGGGGCTTCATTCCACCTCTGGCGATGAGTCTCCAGCCTCTCCCCAGCACCCTGCACTGCACTTCATTCCCCAGCTCAGGTTCCACCTGGGTGTCACCATCTTCACCCCTCACTTTCCACCCAGGGCCTTATCTTGCACTCAGTGAAGCCGATGCTTCCCCAACTCTACTCCAAGAGATATTTTGCCCCTGCGGTGACACTGTGGGGACCTGTCCCCCCTTCCCACTGCCTCTACCCTGCTGCCCCCTCACCCCTGCGGATGGCTGCCAGCAGGTCGCTCCGGGCGTCGCTCATGGGCATCAGCGGGATCTGCGGCTTCCGAGGCTCCACGGCGGGGGCGGGCGGCGAGGCCGAGTGCGCCGGTGAGGCAGAGACCGCCGGGGGCCCCGGGGGCGGCGGGGGGGGGGCCACCGGGGGGCCCATGGGGCCGGCCTGCGGCGGGGATGCGGAGTAGGGGCCGGGGGGCGCAGGGGGCGGCGAGGGTGCATAGGAGGGGGGCCCGGCCGAGCCGGGGGCCAGCGCAGGGGGGGCCGAGATGGGGCTGTCGAAGGCCGTCTGTGCCGAGGGGATGACGGGCGGTGGGGGTGGCGGGGCCGGCGGAACGAAGTACTCGGCCATGGGCACCGGCTGAGGGCTGCAACAGGGGGCACAGGTCAGTGGTATGGGGAGGGATGGCACCCAGCCCAGCACCCAGCCATCCTTCTCCCATCCCAGAACCCTTCACCCATTCCATCACCCATCCCAGCACCCATCACCCATCCTGTCACCCATTCCAGCACCCATCATCCATCATCCTTCACCCATCCCAGAACCCTTCACCCATCCCATCACCCATTCCAGCATCCATCATCCATCATCCTTCACCCATCCCATCACCCATTCCAGCATCCATTACCCATCACCCATCCCGGCACTGAACAGGCTCCACTCTAGCTTGGTTTACTCTGAACCCCCATGTAAGCTCTGTCCCAGAGCCAGAGAGAGGGGAGGGCTCTGCCAGCACAAAGGGTTATGGGGCATGAGGAGGTAGGAAGGTGGCCAACACCCCAGGGGAAAACCTCCCTAGCCCCCTTTTCCCTGAAATGAGGTTACCCCAAAAGCACTCCTGACTGATTTGGATCTCAGTTTCAGACCACAACAGCCACAGAGGAGGGCTCTCCTCACTACTTCAGCCCAGAAAAGGGGGGGGTCAGGCCCCCACCAAGCCTCCCTTCCCCTGGGCACCCCTGCACCCAGCCAGAGGGCTGGAGCCCTACCCGTAATCCTTGACGAGGTGCGGTCTGGGCCCGTTGAGCACGGCCTCGGGCGGCGGCGGCGCGTGGGGCTGCTGCAGCCGGCTGAGGCTGTTCTGGCGGCTGCCCGGGGCCGGGCGGTACACGTGCTCCTGGGGATTGGGGGGGGCCAGCACCCCCTCCTTGTGCTCCACCGGGGCCAGCAGCTGCGCGGGGTGGTTGGGGCTCGCTGGGTACGAGTGGTCAGCCGCGTCTGACGCGTAGGATCTGCAGCACGGAGAAACCCCACTGTTGTACTCGGGGCGGGGGGAGTCACAGGGTGGGGGGTACAGGAGTATTTTGGGGTTGAGCGAACGAAACAAAAAATGGCCACAAAAACATAGATGTACAAGACAGCAGAGAGATAGCAGAGGGGAGGAGGACACCAACACAGCTGAACCACTCTCTCTGCCCATAACTGCTAAATGGAAAGTGCTCTAATTTTATCCCAATGCCAAGGCTGCTCCTGAGGTCCAGGATGGCACCCTGGGGGTACCAACTCTCATGAAGCTACCACGGGCTTTCGGCTTATCACCCCAACCCTGCTGCGGGAACACGAACCCCCACAGACGGAGCAGAGCAAAGCAAAGCAGAGTCGGTGAGCTGAACGTGCAGTAGGTAGAACCTGCCTATTATCTGGGGACAGTGATCCTTCCGATGACGCCATGTGATAGGGGGATGGTGAGAACCTGTTATCGGGCCGGAACTCTTTATCATATGCCATCATGTTCCACTCCAGCCGCCGGTTTCGGGCTTTCCTCACTTTCTTCACCTCCCGGGTGGAGTCCTCCACCAGCCGCTGTTCCTGCAGGCACACAGAGCCACAGCTCCACCTCCAGCACAGCTCCTCTGGACCATTAGCAGTGCCCAGGGAGCATCACCCCACCTCAGGAGATGCACCTGATGCAGTAGAGGGGAGTGCAGAGGATGCACAGGAAGGTGACTGTTCCCCAGGTGCCAGGCAACCCCAGCTCCAGCCCCTCAGAGTCCCCGTTACCTTCTGTCTGCGCTTCTCCTTCCTCTTATCTTCTGTTGCCTGCAACATTTTCTCCTTCCATAAGTTGAAGAAGTAGGAGGGGTCAGTGTAGAATTTGAGGCCATCCTTTTTGTCATCCCTGAGCATTGGGAAGGTAGGAGAGAAGTTATCAGCCACAGGAGAAGACACCCGTTCCCCTGCACATGGGCTTTGGTACAACCATGACGATGAGCTGCTGTCCCACCAGGAACACGTCCAACACAGAGGTCACTACCTGTAGTACCTCTGGGGGTGTCACCCATCCCAACTGCCCTCACAATGGGGGTGGTGGCACAGCAACTGCAGAAATCTGCCTCTCAGGCTTCATCAAGCAGCAAATGGGGTGCACACCTGATGCCTCTCTTGGAAAAGGCTCCTAAGAACGCCCCAGGACCCCCTTGTTCTCCCCAGGAGGTGATGTGCCTGTACCTGTAGGGTGTGAGGATGTTGAGTGGTGGGGGTTTGTCGCAGCGCTGGTACATCTCCATCACTGGGTTGGGGATGGAGTTGCGAGACACAACCTGCTGGTTCTGCACCGTGGAGCTCTTGAAGGCTTTCCTCATGTTGATGTCCTGTAGAGAAACTGTGGGCACAGGAAGGAGAAGGAGTACAGAGGTGGCCTCAGCCCCCCAAACAAGGCATGGTGGGTGGTCCAGCCAGGAGCACATGTCCTGGCTGTCACCCCAAAACAGCCCCAGGCTCTCACCTTCCTCCACAGTGGAGTCCAGCTGCGTCACCTTGATGACCAGCAGGTCCACCCTCTCCTGCAGCGAGTTCATCCTCATGTAGAAGCTGTTGGCCTCATTGAACAGCTCCCCGAAGATGTCCTCAGCGTGCCTGCCTGGCAGGGGACACAGTGCCCATCACCAGCCCATCCCCTGCACACACACCTCCCCAGTGGCTCCATGCTCTTCACAGCCTTGTTTTTTTGGGAGCTGAGCCTCACTCTCTCCCAAAGCCCTGCACAGAGGGAGGGGAGCACAAACACCACCCCCACGAACACCCTCAAGCATCCTTTTCAGTACCCACAGGGGCACAGAACATTCACAGTGTCCCAAAAAGCCTTTGGATCCACCAGGACAGATGAGCCAAGAGTGACCATCACACAACATGGCCGGTGGAAATCCAGCCCTGAAGGTGGGAAACCAGGAGCAGGGCAGCAGGGAGAGTTCCACAGCAGGGAGAAGCTGTGACTTGTTTAACTTCATAATAACTTTATAACAACTTTAGCAGTTATTTTCCTGCAGCATCCTATGCATTGCTACAACAGCTCTTTGTTAGGGCTATTCCTATCGTGGGGCTGAGCAAGGAGTCTGGCAGAGCATTGCTGACATCTGTAGGCTTCAGCATCCATCCCATCCTATCCCATATCCCAACCCAGTCTCTATCCCATCCCAGAACCCAGCCCATTCCAGCATCCATTCCAGCCCAGCACCTCAGATCCTCAGAGTTTCCTCCAAACCCACATATCAAGCAGCACCTAAAATCAAGGTATCTTTAATACCTTCTCAGACCATTCACCCAACTCAGTCATTTGTATTTGATTTCTTTTTCATCTGGACAAGCTACCCATGGCCTGGGCACCCGTGTCACTTCCAGCAGCTCCATAAATACAGGGTTTATTTTTCTGGGAGTATTTTAGAGAAGAATATAGTTCTGGAGTGGGAGAGAAGAGGGGGAGCCCTGAAAAGCCTGGGCTTCTCTCTCTTTTTTAATTGGATATTCAGCAGTGAAATAGGTTGTCCCTATTAAACCTTCACACCGGTGTGCTCTTGTCTGTCCCTTTTCTGCTAAGTCGCAGGGAAGGAAGACAGCTGAGGATTTAGACCTTTTATATAGACCTCTCTTCCTCATAAAGCTCTCACATTAAAAAGCATAGGTTGGAGTATTTTAGACCTTCACCTGACCTTCCTCTTTCTGGCCAAGTGAAGAAGCAAGGGGCTCACGGAGGCTTTCTGCCCCCCACTGCACAGACCAGCTGTGGGAGGAAAATGGGTCTTAAAATGTCTTAAAAAGTCCCCAGTTTGGGCTTGGCCCTGAGCATTGTCCTATTTTCAATTAGCTGAATTTAATTCCCACTGAATTAGCAGGGGCTGCAGCCCACGTGGCTCTCATAGCCCCTGTTTCTCTGTGTTTGGAACCAGAGGAAGCGACTGCAACACCCCAGCAGCATCCAACCAGCATCCCAGCAGCGTCCAACCAGCAACCCAGCGCTCCACCACCATGCCACGCTGGGATTGCTGTGCCATGACTTACTGAGGCTGCCCAGCTGCTTGATGATGGCAGCCAGGGTGCTGTTGGTGACACACTCCAGCTCACTCGTCACCCCGTCGGGCAGAGCCCCCCGGCACAGGTGCCGGGGCTCGATGTTCCTCTTCACCAGCGGCATCCTGCCCGAGAGCCCTCACGCCTCTCCTGGCAAAAGGAGAAAGAGAGGAAACAAAGAAAATACATTTTACCATTTGCCTATTTGTCCTCCCATTCCCTCTGCTTTCTGCCCAGGATACTCATCCTGCCCATGCTGGGACTCGGCAGATAGCAGCGGGGCTTTCCCAAGTCGGGGGTGCTCCTTGGGTGCAAACCTTGGGGTGCTGGTGAGCACATGGATGCCAGGATGGAGGTGAGGACCACACCAGGGCTCTGTCCCTACCCTTGTGCTCTCCTGCCAAGCCACTGTGTCCTTCCCCCCTCACCTCCAGAGTGGCGCTCAAACCAGGAGCAAACCCCCATGTGCTGCTTCCCTTCCGCCGGCCCCGAAAAGCCTCATCCAGCCCAAACAGAAGCAAGGAAGCGCTTGTAATGCCATTATTTCCAGCTCACTGCCAGCTCTCCAGGGTTTTATTTGTGCACACATTACACTGAGGCAAGCTGCTGGGCCCAGCTCATCCCAGCTCTCTGCATGGCCCCCCCAGCATCCCTGGGTGCCTCTCCAGCATCCCCGTGTGCCCCCCCAACATCTCTGGGTGCTCTCATAGCATCTCTGGGTGTCCTTCAAGCATGTCTGGGTGCCCCTGGGTCTGCTGCCATTCCACCTGAACTGGGCACGGTTCATTTTCTCTGGGGCTCAAGGAGATGTAGGGAGATACCCTCACCCAAAAGCCTCATCTCCAGCAAGAGCACCCATGGGAGCTGGGGAGGAAGGGTGAAGGATGGGCACGACGGGGTGGGGGGTGTTGGGGGCAGGTCATCCCGCTGATGGAAAGGGAGAGTGGTGGGAAACAGGCTGGGAAAAGAGGCAAAAAAGGAGCATTTATTAACCACAGTGATGCCTTCTGGGGTGCTGCAGCCTGGGACTGGGACGTGGACGGGCAGTGACCCCACAGGTTTGCACAAGGGGGTCTGAGGTGACACGAGTGCATCCGGACTCAGCTCCACTCCCACTGTGAAGGCAAACTGACCGCCGGGCTGATAAGGACTAGAGAGCACAAGCAGCATTCCCAGCTCCCGAGTGCAGCGAGTGGAATCCCCCCGTTTCACATCCTGGGCACCCCTCATCCACCCCATCTTTACAGAACTTTGGCAGCGAAGGAAAAGCAGCTTCCGTTAATCGCCGGGAGCGGCGCCACCGGGTGCCGACATGGGAGCCAGCACTTCTGCCCGTGAACCGAGCCAGCAATCTGCAGAGTTCACATTTTTTGGCCCTGGCAGCGTTCGACAGAACAGTTTCCCATTGATAGCACCCGGCCAGTGCTCCCGTCCCCCCGCCAGCACTACCAGCTCCTCCGCAGTTTTCAAATGCAAATTCAAGCTCCCTCCACGAACCAGTCCAAAACTTGTTCCTAAATCATTCATATGGAGCTTCCCAAAGGGCTGATTGTGCTCCCAGGTCTGTATGGACAGGGCTGGGCTCTGCTCTGCCCCAGACCAGTCGGGGCACTGTGGGAAGGAACCCTGATCCCTCCGCAGGGTTCTGCGATGCTTTGGGCTCAGAGCAAACAAACCTCGTGTCCTCCGGTGCTCCCCAAACTCACTGCACATGGATGTGGGGCTGGTACCGCCCCTGGCGCCCCAAAAAAACAGAGGTTTCTGCCAGCAGGGTTTGCAGGGGAGACTCTGGATGTCTGTTGATGGATGTCTGCTCGGGCCATGAACAGCCCGCTGGCACCCCCTGGATCCCCCCCGGCTGCATAAAGAGCTGAGGAACGCTGGCAGCTTCACCCCAAGCTCACTTTGAGCTGGTTTTATGTGTCATCCCGAAATCCATCTCAGCGGCTGAACCCCAGCATTTCCCCGCGGGGGTTCCCCCCGAGCGGCGGCTGCAGGGACCGGAGGGCGCAGGGAGCGCTGTTAACGAGCTGCTCGAGCCCAGCAATTAGAAACAGGGAACAAAGAGCCATTCTCACACCCGTCTGGGACACGGCCGCTGGAAACAGCCACCAGCACCCGGGGTTTTTTGTCCCTTACGGGGAATCCGGGGGGAATTGGGGCCACCCCTCCTCCAGCCCCCGCGGGGACCCCAGAGCAGAATGAATTAAAAAAAGGGATTTGTGGTTTGAAACTTCCCCACAGGGACAGACTTGCAGAGAGGCAGAAGGTGGATAAGGGGCCTGATAGCAGCATTTGGGAATGTGCCATGGGAGAGCATCCCTGGAGAGGAAAAATCCCTTTAATCTCACCCCTAAAAAGCCCAAACAAGACTCAGAGCCTGCAGCAGGAGGAACCAAGGAGGAACTGGGCACACATTTTTAGGCTTGGATAGCCTGGAAAGGCAACTTTGGCCGAACTGCTTTTTAACCCTGCCCAATTAATGGCAGGTAACAGGAACCCAGGGATCAGAACCCCCTGCCAACCCCTCCTGTGACAAGTGTTCTCTCAATCTGCTGCACCACCAACACCAAACCTCTGACTTCTGGCTTGAAACTCAACTTCTGACATAAAACCTGTGCCTTCAAGGCCCATCCTGACTCAGGAGACCACAGTTCTTTGGGTGAGGATGGGCTACACACAACCCCACAGACATCAACTTAATTTCTATCCCTCCTGGCACATCTTGCTCACACTTACCAAGCAGCTGCACACAAATCCTGAGAGCTGGTGGCCCAGCCAGAGCTCTAGCAAAGGGGCTTCTGCTTTTGCTGATACTTCTGGTAATTTCCAAGCATTTCAGGGGGTGATTAAGGGTGGCAGGTCCTCAGACCTTCAGGAAAGGGCTCCCAGGGGCAGGGATCTCCTGGGAGCAGGGTTGGCTCCCTGGTGCAAGAGGGGGAAGTTCAAACATTGACAGTCAGGCCTAGAGCTATTAATGATTTCTTCCATACATAGGACCATCCCAGCCCCCACCTCAGTGCTCAGCACCATGGGCCACCATCATGTACTGGTACCTCCAGTACAGCCCAGTAAATTGCCCCAGTAAAGCCCCATCTGTGAAGCTGCAGGGCCAAACTGACATATTCCCATGGACACTACCAGCCCCTCATGGCCTTGATCAGTCTCATCTGGGACCCCTGGGACCTCGGCCCCACCCATGGCCCAGGAGGTTATTCAAACTCAGCTGGAAGTGCCAGACTTGCTCTGAAGGAGCTGCTGGTCCTCAGCTGTGCTTCTGGCCCTGCTCCTGCCTTGGGTGGGTGCTGGCACCGGGGAAACTCCTGGGTTTGGCACAATCTTCAGGGTGAGCATTGGACCTGTGTCCTGGTCCCTTCATTTCGGGTGCCCCTGGGCCTGCCAGCAGACTCTGCTCTGCCTGCTGTTTGCTGGCCCTGGGGGGTGCTGGGGAGCTCCTGCTCTGGGGTCACCCTGAGCTCCCCCTCGCCTTCCCCCGTGGCCCCGGCCCCGCTGTGCCCCAGCAAGGGCAGAGGCAGTGAGGCTGGGGTGGCACCTTGCTCACAGCACTGTGGTGACCTTGTCCTGGAGCTGGGAGAGCACAGCCAGGGTGACAGCAGCGCTGATGGGGGGACATGCTTGATCCAGGGCAGGTGGGATGTTTGGCCTCGGTGTCCATGCTCAGGCTGGCTGGCAGGAAGGGTTTTCCACCTTGCCAGGTCTGGTGCAGGTGTCTGACCCTGACAGGCAGCACTGGGCTGGGCTCTGCTGCAAAATGCCGACTCTGGCACACAGGATGTGAAATGGAGTTCCTAAAGTCCTGCCTTGGGACAGACATCACTGGGATGGATGGATGGAGGCAGGATGGGCTCTTTCCCTTCTGCCCTGCCCCTGTTCTCCTCTCCCACTGTAACTCAGGGAATGTGCCAGCCCTGGAGGGTTTGAGTCTTTCCTTCCCCTCTAGCTGAGGGTGCAGCTGATGGCTCCAAGGCCACAGGGAGACCCCAGCCACAGGTGGCAGCACTCCCTGCCCAGCTCAGCATCTCCCCTCTGATCCCACCTTTCAGCTGCTTTGAGATAATGGTGTAACCCCCCAGTTTGGGTTTAGGTGGTCACATTGGCTTTTCCAACCACCCTCAGCAAGGTTTTCTTCTCCTATTTATTCCTCATGGGATGGTCCCTGTTTCTTCAGGTGCTGGCTGCTCTGTTGGGTGTGGGAGTCAAAGGCACAACCTCAACCAGCCAAACCCTCTTGGGATGGTGTTGTAGGGTGAGCATCTCCTCCACTGGGTCTGGGAACATCAGCCAGGCTCTGGTATCACTTACATGGACTAAAATCCACGAGGTTTTGTTCTGTCTCCTGCGTGGAAGTGAGGAGCCCTCAGTGGGAGGTGGTGTTAGGCTGCAGGAGGAGGAAAATAGGAGCCACAAAATCAGCAGGAATTTCCTGTAGGTGGAAGGCAGGAGGAGTGGGACCAGCCAGGGACTTCCTGTGAGCTCCTGTCATGGTACAGGCACACTGTGGGGATTCTCCCATCACTCAGCTCCTCTCTCCAGCAGTGGAAAGAGTCAATTACTAAATCTTGTACTGGGAAATGTGAAAGGAGATTCACCAGCTTCCCACTCGCTTTCCAAACCAGCAGAGGAACTTGGCAGGGAACCACGTCCAGCTCACTGTGCCCAAGCACAGATCAGCTGAGGTGCAGGCAGGGGAAGGGATGAGACCAGAAATGAGCTTTATCTTGTGCCCTAAGAAACTGGTTTCTCCCAAGGAACAATCAACCAATTGCTCACAGCATCCCAAATCCAGAGTTGCTGGTGCTACTGAGGAGCAGCCCCTGCTTTCCCAGACCAAGGAGTTCTGGGGAATAAGGGCTGCCCTGAACCCCAACTGGGAGCCCCCAGTCCTTGCAGACCAGACTGGGAGTGTGATTTGGACTGGCCCAGAGGTGACTCCTACAGCTGGCTCCTTTCAGATGTTATCCTTCACCTCAGCAGCCATCACATCTGACAGCTTAGATCCTTGGAGTCCATCAGGGGCAGAAAAACAGTTTTCATTTTGCAAGAGGGTCCAAAGAGAAGAGTTTTGTGTCCAGATATTGCTTCTTATTTTCTTTGCTACAGCTTTTCATGTACAGAACTGTGTCCTCACC